TGTATTCATGACTTAATAAGAAGGGCAGGGGCAGCTAGGTGGCACAGTGGATAGAGTACTGGCCCTGGACTCGGGAGGACCTGAGTTCAAATCCAGCCTCAGACACATAACACTTACTAGCTGTATGACCCTGGGCAAGTCACTTAACCCCACTGCCTGGCCAAAAAAAAAAAAAAATGGGCAAACTTATGTAGGAGGGGACTAGAAGTAGAAGTTGCTATACACAATGTTCTCTTGGTTTGCCTCACTTCACTCTTCATCATTTCATGCAAGTCTTTCCATGCCTTTCTAGGATCATTAAGCTCATCATTTCTTAAAACAGTAGCATTGTATCACAACGATACACCACAGAAAGTTGTACAGAGTAGATTTGCAGTTTCATGAGCAATAATCTTTTTTATCGTACTGTGTTAAATGGAAATCCTTGTTTTGTTCTGTGAATTGAAAATAAAATAAATTAAAAAACAAAAAGAAGTGAAAGGACGAAGGATAGGATAGGGGTTAGCAGGGAAAGCCTTCTACAGAAGGCGGGATTTAAGCAGAATCATGACGAAAGCGAGGGAAACAGGTGGAGGTGAGGAAGGAAAGAAGAGCATTCCTCGCATGAGGGACAGCGAGGACAAATACAGTCAGTTTGAAAAAAATGTTAAAATTGTTTTTACACATAATTGGGTAAAAAAATAAAATATTAAATTAAAGAAAATAAAAAAACAAATGCACAGTCAGGAGATATAGCATTATATTTCAGGAACAGCAACTGGGTAAGTAGAGCTGAATCACAGAATGTTTATAGAGAAGCAAAGTATAAGACATCTGAAGAGAAAAAAGGGTGCTAAGTTATGAAAGATCTAAATATAACAGAGGATTTTATATTTGATCGTGGAGGTAAGAGAGAACCAGTGGACTTTAATAAAGGGACAGGGAGAAGGTGACATGGTCAGATTGCATTTATGGAAGATAATTTTGGTAAGTAAGTAGAGAAGGGACTGGAATGCAGACAGACTTAAGGGAAAGAGGCCATCTAGAAGACTACAGCAATGGTCCAAGCCCAAGGGGATGAGGGCCTACATGGGGGCGGAGGGAGTGTTGGAAAAGTAAATATATACAGATGTGACAACAGATTAGGTGTTAGGAGTGAACGAAGATGAAGAGCTGAAAATGACACCAAGGTTAAAGGCCACGGTGGCAGGGAAGAGGATGGTGGTGATCTCTATAATATATAAGTTAATAAGTTCTACTTTGGATAGATTGAGTTTGAGAATCATTTGCATAGAGATATTAGTTGAACTCTGGGGAGCTAATGAGATCATGAAATGAGAGGGGGAAAAGAGAAGACAGAGTCAACTAACTATAAAGAAAATGTAGGAAAAAAAGGGGGTCTGAGATAGCACCTCAGGGATCATTCAAAATAAGTGTGATCTAGCATGCTCTGGATGATGAACCAGCAAAAGAAAGGGAGAAGCAACAGAATCATAGGTAGGAGAACCAGGAAAGAATAGGGTCATGAAGATCCAATCCAATAAACATTTATTAAGTGCTAACTATCTGCCAGGAACAATGTGCTAAGTGCTGGGGATACAGTTAATAAATAAGTACAGTCCCTGGCCTCAAGAAGCTTACAATCTAATTGGGGAGACAACATGGAGGCATGAGGGGATGGGGCAAAGGAATAGGGAATAGACCAAGGGGGTTGGTGGCCTGGGGTCATCTTGATCCATGGAGTTGTGAAACCAGGCAGAGCAGCAGATACAGAATGGAGTGAGCCCCAAAAGTCCAGTTACTGCCCCCTATAAGGGAAGGCAGTGGGAAGAGTTCAGTACTCTAACCTCCAGTCACAGGGGAGAGGAGGCTAAGGGGGGTAGTGTCACTCAAGGCTTGAGTTGGTAGCATGGATATGAGATTAGAGGTGATGAGAGGGAGACCTTGTTCCACTGGAGTTGAAAAGAGGCAGAGCAGCAGATTCAGAGAGAGGAGAGAGTATCCAGCATGACAGGAGGTTCAGCAGGGTCAAATGCTGCAGTCAGGAAAAGAAAAATGAGGGCTGAGAAAATCACCATCATATTTGACAATAAAGATGTTAATGGTAACTCTGTAGAGAGTGGTTACAGTTGAATGATGAGGTGAGAAACCAACTGCAAAAGACTGAGGAGTACTGGAGAAAAGGGAGTGAAGGCAACATAGACAACTCTTAAGAGTTTGGCTGAGACCAGGAGGACAGGTACATGCTCCAAGATGGAAGGGGATGGTAGGTTTCAGTGAGGGCAGTTTGGTGGTGCAGTGGACAGAGCTCCAGGCCTCGAGTCAGGAAGACTTGAGTTCAAATCCAGCCTCAGACACTTACTAGCTGTGTGACCCTGAGCATGTCACTTAACCCTGTTTGCCTCAGTTTCCTCATCTGTGAAATAAGCTGAAGAAGGAAAAGGCAAAACAGTCCAGTATCTTTACCAAGAAAATCCCAAATGGGGTCACAAAGAGTCATACACAACTGAACAACAACAGATTTAGGGAAGGTTTTTTGTTTTGTTTTATTTTAAGAATGAGGGAGACAAGAAAGAAAGCAGTAAAGAAGAAACCGGTAGAAAGGGAGAGACAAAATTAGGGAGGGATGACTGAGATCGCAAGAACACAGGACTGGCTAAGATCAAGGGAACAAAAGAGAGGGGCAGTTCTGGGGTGAGGAGAAGGACTTAAACTATCAGAAAGTGGAGGAAAAGAACAGAGAATGAAGGGTGATGTTAAGGGGCATTAAGAAGAAAAGAGGAGATTTGTGAGCTTGTGGAGAATGGCCTCAATTTTCTTCTCAAAGTAAGAGTCAAGGTACTAGACTGTCAGGGTTAGGAGCAAGGTGTAGAAAGACAGAGGAGAGAAGATTTAGAATTGTTTTTAAAAGAGAAGGGTGATATAGGGGTTCAATGAGGAAAGAATAGAAAGATCAGCTGTCTCAGTGAGGGTCCAACTGAGGTGGTAGATGGTAGAAATAATTCAGGGCTGGAGTTTGGCAAAGAATGAAGACAAAGAGGTCATGGGTCTGCAAGTAGATGACAGTATGTAACCAAGCTGGTTAACTATAGGTAGAGATTGGGAAAACAGGAAAATGAAGTCTAAGTAGAGGGTAATGACCTAAGAAAATACTGAGGAATGGAGGGACTGCAGGTCTCCATGAAGAGAGGTGAGAGATAAGGAAAAGGGAAATGATGATAGGAGGGCATGGTCAGATAATATCAGAGTTTGAAGGAGCTTCAACATGAATGTTTAAGTCACCCAGTTTAAGGACAGGAGTTGGGGAGGAGAAGAAGGCAGTGAGGAATCTTGAAATCTGAGTAATTGAAATATAACTGAATTATACATACAATATTGTTCTAAGTTAAAGGTTCTTAAGCTTTGAACTTGTGACTCTGTTTTACAGATATTTTTATAACCTTTATATAATTGTTTTTTTTAATTTTATAATTTAAAAATACTCTGAGAAGGGACCTACAAACTTCATCAGACTGTGAAAGAGCAGTCCAAAATACAAAAAAGGCTAAGAATTCCTGTTTTAAGGTAAGAATAAGAAGAGAAGATGGCATGGAGATGAGGGCTTTGTGAATGACCCCCTGAAGGGGAGTGAGGTAAAATAATCCTGGATGAGAGTTGGGACTCCCAGAGAGTTAGTTGTAAAGGACCTTGAATCTTTTTCCAACACAAAGGGAAAGATAGGTTGGGAAAGGTCCCAAGATAGGCTGCTTGAGATCTGAAGGAGCCAAAGCAATCAGAACAGTAAGAAAGCATTAAAAGCAGGAACTGATGAGGACATAGCCATGAAAAACTATAAACAGGCTCTGTGTCCAGAGCAGAGAAGAGATCAGGAAATGTCTGTGGGAAGGAGGCAGGCTGTAATGCCAAGTCAAAGTTTGGGTTGTTTTTAACAAGAGCAGCTTTGACCTGAAGTACACCTGGCAATGAATCATCAGTCAATGAGTGCCTTGACCTAGGTGGCTTCTAAAGCCCCCTCCCAGTTCTAATTCTATAATCCTTGGAAGGAAGGAAGAAGGAGAAAAGGAGGAAAAAAGTGAAGATAGGAAAGCCAGGAAAGAATCTCTTCTAATACTTTTTTTTTTAAATGTTCCTGCTCCTCTCAAGGGCCTAGGCAAGTATAATCATGCATCATTCATACATGGTTTACTGAAAACTTACAGAATGAAGTTTAAATGATCTGTCTCTGCCCCCAGACACAAAAAGTGCTGGAGAAATTCAGTCCAGAACTCTGATTCAAAACATTTTTGTGACATGCCCTTGCTATTTTAATAAAAAATGATGATGATGATAAGAGTCATAGTTATTTAAAACAAAAGCTAGAATTAACATAGCAGTTTATGATTTTCAAAATGCTTTACATGTGTTATCTCATGTGAATCTCACAATAATCCAGGGAGGTGGATGCTATTATGACACTCATATTTTACAGATGAGGAAACTGAGGTACAGAAAGGTTAAGTGACTTGCCCAGAGTCACACAGTAAGTGCTTGAGGCAGGATTTGAATTTAGGTCTTCCTGACTCCAGGCACAATTCTCTAACCACTGAGCCACCTTAGCCATTCACCTATCATTTTAATACCTAGCCATTTAATAAAACAGATTACAGGTCCATGAACTGTATGTAACCCCAGGTTCTATTTCCAAGTAACAACCACCATTTAAAAAATATCTTTCCAAAAATTGCTTTTCCACTGAAGACAACTGACATAGATAAAATAGACACATCATTTTAAATTACAAAAATGTTAAATGATTTTCTTAAGCAACTATAAAAGCACTTTAAATTAACATCAATCCATCTGAACAAATGAGAACACTCAAGCTCATACATTATATATAACTGAGTTATCGCCTGAGTTTAAATATTTCCTATTCTGAACTACTCTTCTATTTTTCATGGAACTTACAAGAACAGACACAAGAGACATTCTAATTACTTCACTGATCTTAGTCTGAGAATTTGAAAATGATTAAAACTTACTGTGTATTCTGGTCCCAGAATTTCATTTGGAGGAAAGAAGTGTGGAGGGGGAGAAAAAGAGAGATGACATGATAAATGTCATTACTTCCACTTAATACAAACTATATAACCAATAAATACACCAGTAAATTATAATGACAAAAAAAGTATGAAGAAAACCACCCCCTCCCAATTATGTTAAGTGACCAGACCACCAAAATTGCTCTTGGAATGCTTTCACATGCAAAATTAATAATGACAGTTCTCTTGGTTGGACAGACAAGGGGATCAGATTCAATTAATCTGTGGCCAGCTAAACACCAAAAGACTAACTAAAATCAGAGTGTGAACCTAGAGCTCAGGTGAAAAGTGTTGGTAAAGAACAGAAGAGCCGACGTCAGAGAAATTTCTGGAGTTCAATTTTTAAGTGGAAAAAGATTGTCCATTGACTAAGGAAAAGTTTGTTCTACTGGTACCAGAGTTATGGCAGCCTGGGTCATTTCATAAGGGAAAGAACTGATCCTTCTTCTTTTAGCATGGAAACTCCTTCTACCTGTAATTTATAGATTTAAAGAGTTCCCTGGGAGCACTGAGAAGTTAAATTACTTGCCCATGGTCACACAGAATGTGTCAGAAGCAGGACTAGAACTCATACGTTCCTATTCGAAGGCTAGTTCTCTATCCTCTATCCTAAGCAGCCTCTCTCTAACTACTCATTTCTTCCACAATTTCTGGGAGAATGCTGAGTATATAATATACATTCAAATTCTTCCAGAATGAATCTATGTTACTTCACCTGGAGCAAGAAGTAGAATTTTCTGCATAATCAGATTACAAGGGAAATTTTTGTGCTAGTGAACTTTTTGGACTTCCATGGACAATTTATATGTTTGTTTGTGAAAGACATTTACTCCATGACATATTAGAATAGGGATGAAGGTAGAGTAGTGGCAAAGAAACAACAATGGATTTTAAATCAGAAGCCCTGCACTCAAATCACTGCTCTGTTGCTTACTAACTATGGGACTTTGGGCATGTCATTTTGACTTTTTGGGACTCAGTTTCCTCATCTGTAAAATGGAATGGTGAGCGAGATGGTTTCGATGGTCTCTTCTAGGTTTAGATTTTATGATCCTAAGATGGACTAATTTAATATTCTTTTTTTTTCTTTCTTCTCCTTAGCGACTAGTAAAGGTAAATGCTATTGAGAAATGACATCATCTAAAAATTGGAAGGCAATAATAATACTAATAATAGTAGCTGATATTTGTAAAGCATTTTAGAATTTACCAAGTCCTTTAGATAAGTTATTTCATTTTATTCTCTTAACTTTTTAAGAGATACACACACACACACACACACATAATTATGCTTCTATGGGAATAAATAGTCCCATGCCTAGACCAGTGATCTCCACACTGTTTTCATCTTGTACCTCATCAGCAAATCATATTTTATCATATACCCCCAATTTTTTCTGTCTTTTTTGTAGTCTAGATCTACAATTTTTTCACTGTATGAAACAACTAGTATGGAAACTCCTTCCACCTGTAATTTATAAATTTAAAGAGTTTCCTTGGGGCACTGGGAGGTTAAGTAACTTGCACAGTTACACAGAATATAAGTCAGAAGCAGGACGAGAACCCACATCTTCCCGATTCCAAGGCTAACCTTCTACCCTTACTACCTATACCTACCGCTAGTATATTTCTCCCAGAAGTTGTGCAAGAAATAAGAACAGAGAGAGGGAGCTTAGAGTGTATAAATCATATGGATGTGCTACTCTGCTATTATAAGACACACAAGAAGAAAAAGTTTATGAGATAAATATGAAATAAATAATATTTAAAAATTTTTTAAGAATGATTCTTTTTAGTGAGAGCAATGTGATTAAATGTGCTTCAATATTTGAGAAAAATCTCTATGTGTATACCGGAGGATAGGGCAAACTTGTAAATAATAATGGTTTGTTAGTAATTAATGATTCAGTTAATTTGATCAATGTAGCTAGCCAGCTAAACAGATGAATTTCTTTTTTTAGCTACTTTTTTATTAGAAGATATATAATGTAACAATCTCTGTAACATAAAATATCTTGGGTTATAACAGCCACAGCACAATGGCTTTAAAACACAAATCATTTTTATCTATATGTAGACATTATCATGCACAATGCAAAAACAAGGAAAATGAACTGCCTCTTGTTTCAATTCAGCAGAAAGTTTTCCATCTAAATGCATTCTGCTTTATGAGCTTGCTTAATCGATAGGGTCATACTTTAATTTCCTATTGCTTGGATACTTTAGTTGTGTTTTCATGTGAGTATATGGTACATCAAGAAAAGCACTTTGGCTGGACTGTAGAGCGTAAGGAAGGAAACTGATGTATAAAAAAATTGGAAATGAGCCAAATTCTGAAGGGTATTAAATGCTAAATAGAAGTTTGTATTTGCTCCTTAAAGTCAACAGGGAGACATTCGACACTTACTAGGTGTGTGACCCTGGGCAAGTAACCTAATCCCATTGTCTAGCCAAAAGCAAAAAAAGAAAGAAAGAAAGAAAGAAAGTCAACAGGGAGACACTGGAGTTTCTTGAGTAGGGGTGACAAGGTCAGGCTTGTGTTTCAGGAAATTTGTTTTGTATGGAAGATAGTTTGGGGTGTGTCTTGAGACAAGGAGACTAAATAGGAAACCATTGAAAGGGTACAGGGCAAAAGTGATGCCTAAATTAGAGTGGTCGCTGCGGGAGTAGAGAGAAGGGAAAGAGATGTTATGTGGATAAGAAATGACAATGTTTGGCAAGTGACTGGATTGGTGGTGGGGTAAGTGAAGGTGAGGAGTATGAGATGATGCTGAGGTTATAAACTTGAGTGACTAGGAGGATGAGGGTACATGGGACCGATGCAGGAAAGGTCAGATGACGGTTGAGTTTGAAAAGAAAGATAACAGCCCATGTGCCCAAGCTCCTCTGGTGCAATTTGTTCTGTACAACCTCAAAATGGGTAGTGTATGTGTAATCAATAAGCATTTATGAAGCATTTACTATATGTCAGACACTGTGCTAGGGAAACAAATAGAAAGAATTAAATAATCCCTATTCTTAGGAAGTTTAATGCCCAGTCTCCCTCTGAAGGGGGGCCTGATATGGTGATAAGGTAATCAAGGGAAGCATTTAGGGAGGGGGAAAGGGTGCAAATACGCTTTCCCAAAGGTATTTCTGCAGTTTCTGCTCTGAGTGCATCTGTTATGATTAGGTAATAAATGCTATGGGGGGCCAACACTTGAAAAAATACAGATAGAAGGGAAGTTGAGGGCTTGCACAAAGGAGGGTGGGGGGTAAAGGTGGAGGAGTGCTGGGCAGTTAAAAGATAGGGATAGTTAAAGGACAAGGCAAGTCTTACAACTGGTTCTTGTGAAGATGGTAGGATGGACCCATCGTCTCACCCTCAGATTTGTTGAACACATATTGTTCCCATAACCCCTACCTGGAGACCACTGGCCTAGACAATGACTTTCACCACATCCTTACATTCACTGCCTGGAGGTGCTTATACATTGGTTTGATTGAAGACTTACCTGTAATTGTGTAAGGGTAATAGTTCCAAGCCTTCTCTGTAACATAAAATATCTTGGGAACAACAGCTCTAGCCCAGCTAGGCAATTTGCTATAAGGAAGAGGAAAAAGTAAATCAGAAATTATATAATAGCCAGAAAAAGCAATTCCTAGAGGAAATGGGAACATTTTGTCATACACACAACATACTCACTTGCCTATGGTCTTCTTTGCTATATAAGAATGATTAATCATTTCATACACACAGTTGCATCTTCTTAATATATACAAAAGGGATACAATCATGGTTATGAATTAGGAAAGAAAGAAAGATCTGCGCTTGAACTCACTCTCACTAATTTGACAAAGAAAATGATGGTAATGCCATGTCAAGAAGGTGGTATTGAAGGAAGGCCATCTCATGGAAATGAGATGGCTTTTACCATAGGATAGGGTCCCCTGGGGTTTAAGACTCTATAGGCTTATGTGGTGTTGAGTGAATAAGCACAGGTAAGTGGGGTCACAGATTTCAAAGGCCAGACTTTGTCCTTTTAATTCCTCTGAGTATTTAGAATGGAAAATAGAAAGAAAAGGGTTTTGCAAGAAGGGCCATAATAAATATGGGGTCTGACTACATGGGCATTTCACTGAACCATGAGGCAGCTACTTTCAGAAATTCTTGAAAGAACATCAGTTCCAATTTCTTTTGTAAAATTAAAAATTCAAACATTTTTTCCTCTTCTATTCACTATCATTGTTTAATCCCTTCCCTTGACCCAATTTACATTTCAGACAAATTGGATTATTAGTTGTTTTACAATTGCTTTTTAAAATTATTTTAAATTTTTTCATTTTCAGTTTAAATTCTCTTTCTCCCTCTAACCCCTCCCCTCCCCTTTAAAAAGACAAGAAATAGGATACCCATTATGCACATGAAGTCATGCAAAATGTATTTCTGCATTAGCCATGGCTGTTCTATACTCTCAATGTGTTTTCTTTCACTGCCATGGATTCCTGCAGGCTGCCTCCGAGGCCTGAAAGATACTAACCCTAACTTAGTTCCATTTATTAATTTTTTTGCTTTCTTCAAGTTTTCCCGCCCAGCTCAAGGTACTAACTCTTCATGGACGCCTTCTGATCAAATCTCTCTTTTGCCCCAAACACTCTCTACTTTGTATTATACTTTTCCCTTCAGAAGAATGGAAACTCTCTGAAGATAGAGATCATTTCATTTTTATATTTTTAAGTCCAGTACCAGCACAGTGTTTGGCACATTGTAAGCATGTAATAAATGCTTCATGGAATTAAAATTAAAAGTTATGTCTTCCCTGTACCCTTGTGGAATGGAAGTTCTTAGAAGGCAGAGCCTGTCCCAGTGTCTTCATTTTTATATTCTCAGTACTCTGCACACAGTAGGTGTTTAACAAAAGTTTCATTGAATGTTCATGAATTACCACAGAATAGGCCCTGAGAAATCTCTGTGAAACTCCAACCTGCTTGTCTTTCTCTTTCAACACTGAATCTTCGGTCAAGGTAGAAGTCTCTTCTTTTTTAATCTCCCATTACCATTTTGCTATTTTCTCATTCTAACACCTGTAGCCAACTGCTGGAGTTTAATGTCTGATACATGAAACCTGGGAAGATGTCACAGTCTTTCAATTCCTGAGAACTGCATGCTGGGAGCAAAGCAGGAAGCAGTTTTGAATTCTAAGTAGACATCACTAACAAAAGGGATTTTTAAAAACAACACAAAGCCAACAACTCTTCCTGGATTTGGGATTCAAATGAAACCAGAACTCAGGATGCACAGAGAGCCCCAGGATGGAGATACATTCAAATTCCCTTCTTTTCATATGGCTGAAGGGTTTCCAGGCTTTATTTTGTTCCAGACAGCTATTCAGACCCTATACAGATACCTGGGATCTTTATCAGGATTAAAACAAATGATGAAATCGAAGTTTTCCAAACAAGAGAGAGCATCAGACCAATGCAATTGCTCTCAGGTGGGATGTGAGAAGCCAAGCTGAAGCAGTTTTATAATTCACCTAGCAATTCTTCTTGCTGATCTAATACAGATTTTCGCACTCCTATAAAAAATCATCTCAGCAGTAACTGTCCATTTACCTTACACTCAAACTGCTCAAATGGGCAGGTCTGCCTCCTGGAAGAGGGTTTATAGCTTCTAATAATGATTGACTCCATAAGTCATTGGGGTTTGAGTACAGTGGGAGTTGGTGCTCACAACTGGGGAAATAAAACTGAGCTTCCAGGCAAGATGAGGCCACAACCAAAACCATACATGAATTTACTCCCAGCTGTTCCCACCCCACACAGTTTTGTAATATTGGGCTATGTCAGAAGCCATGGATTCTACTCACTGGCAAGTAGGGTTCTCATGGATTTAATTTACTGAAACAGGGCTGGACAACTGCCCACCCAACACAGACCAGGCAGAGCTCCAGGATTCCAGGGCAACTACATGATTTATAGAGTCTTAAGTCACAATTGTTCACTTCACTTCTGGAAAAGTACCAACTCAATTTAATTGAACAAGCATTTACTAAATGCCTACTATGTGCCAGAACAAAAAAAACCCAAACAAAACAGGCCCTGTACTCACAGGGCTTACATTTCCACTAGGAGGGAAAAGAAGGACTCAGAGAAGGTAGAGATTCACCAAGGCAGAGCTGGGCATGCTGGAAATGGAATCAGCCTATGCAAAGGTAGAAGACGGAATGTCACCATTCTGAAGAGCAATTAGGAACTATGCCCAAAGGATTATAAAATCATGCATATTCTTTGACCCAGCAATACCACTACTAGGTCTACATCAAGAAGATTTTTAAAAATAAAAAAGGAAAAGGACCCAAATATACAAAAAAACTTATAGCAGTTCTTTTTGTTGTGTCATAGAATTGGAACCTGAAGAGATGCCCAATGAGGGAATGGCTGAACAAGGTGTAGTATATGACTGCGATAGAATACTATTGTGCTAGTATGATGATTAGGATGCTGTCAGAAAAACCTGGAAAGACTTACATAAACTGATACAAAGTGAAATGAGCAGAACCAGGAGAACAATGCACACAGTAACACAATATTATAATGATGATCAACTGCGAATTACTCAGCTCTTCTCAGAAATCTAATATCCAAGAAAATTCCAAAGGACTTATGATGAAAAATGTTATCTACCTCCAGAAAAAGAACTGATGGAGTGTGAATACAGATCACAGCATATTATTTTTTGCTTTATTTTTTCTTGTGTTCTTTTTTGGTCTGTTTTCTTTTTCAACATGACTAATATGGAATTATGTTTTTCATGACTGCATATGTATGACCTATATCAAATTGTTTGCCATCTCAGGAAGGAAGAAGAGAATTTGGAACTCAAAATGTTAAAAAAAATGCTAAAAATTGTTTTTACATAATTGGAAAAATATAATTTCTAAGATGCCTATACTAAATAAATGAATGAATGAATAACCATTTGGCTACTTCAGAAGAAGGAGGAGCAGGAAGAGGAGGAATGGCACATACAGGAAACAGTAAGCAGGCCAGCATGAGTGGAACACGGAAGAAGTAAAGGGAGGAATACGAAGTCACTCTGAGAAGGTAATCTGGAGGCAGACTGTCAAAGCCTTTCAATGCCATTGTGCATATTTTACTCTAGAGGTAATAGGGAACTACCACAGCTTCTCGAGGAGGAAGGGAGTGACACAGGTACCGATGTCTTAGATATATACATGTGGCAGCCATGTGCAGAATGGAATGGACTGCAGAAAGGAGAGATTTAAACCAAACATACTATGGCAACAGTCCAGGCGAGAGGGGAGGACCTGAACCTGGGTGACAGCTACATAAATGGAAAAAAGCAAACAAATATCAAAGATCGGGGGAAACTAACTAAAGAGGAATCAATAACCGACCAAACATAAATGGGATGACTAAGAATAAAGAATCAAGAAACACTTCTAATCTGTCTAGAACCTGGATGAATGGGAGGGTCATATGATCATACATATGGAGCTAGAAAGGACTAAAGTGGCCATCTCTTATGACTCCCTCATTTGACTGATGAGGAACAGGGACTCAGAAAGGTTCAGTGATTTGCCCAGGGTCACACAGCTGGTAAGTGTAAGCCTTGAACCCAGGGATGGCAGTAGCTTCCAATGAAACAGGCGAATTAGGCAAAGAGATGGGTTTTGGCAGGAAAACAATGAGTTGTGTTTTATATATGGTTGAGTTTAAGACACTTATGCGACATCAGTTTGGAGATATCCTGCAGATAGTTGGTGATGTGGGATTGGAGCTAAGGAGAAAGATAAGAAGTGAATATGGAAATTAAGAGTAACTTCATGTAAGTGACAGCCGAACCCATGGGAACTAATGAGATCACCAAGAGAGAATGCAGAGAGAAAAATGGGCCCAAGACAGCCAAAAACTTTAAAAAATCCAAAGGCTCTGGGGCATGTGCTATTATGACTTCTAAGGGAATCAATCCTATACCATACTGGAATGCCATATTCACACTAAGAGGTATGAACAGGTTGATCTGGAAGAGGCACAAACTATTGCTAATTAGCCCTAAAGAGGGCCATAGTTTCATTCCCACACTACTGGTAAGCAGTTTGTAAAGCAGAGAGATCAGGCCTCTGTGATAGCATTCATTAAATTGGGCCTGATATTCTGGTTAAAAAGTGACTGTGCTGAAAGAAAGACCTCCCCTCTCCCCCATCACTAAAAGTTCCTTGACAGCAGGGATTGCCCAAAACAGAGAAGAAATTTAATGAGGGAGGAAGAGAGGAAGAGATGAAGGAAGAAGGGAAGGAAGGAAGGAAGGGAAAAAAAGGAGGAAGAAAGAAAGGAAGGAGCAGAACTCTAAGGAGTCTGTTTACTTAGGTGGATTTCCCTGCTATATGTGAGGTCTCAGGCTCAAGAAACCAAGGGGCTGGACCTTTCTTAGCCACAAGTTCAGAGCCTGCTAAATCCTTGATATCTCCTTAAAAGATACAAGGATCAGATTTATAAATGGAAGAGACCTTGGAGGTCACCTCCTCCAACAACTCCACTGTACAGAAGAAGAAATATGGTCCAAAGAAATAAGGCAGC